TATTTTTGGCTGGACCCGCCCCTGTTTGTAACACAACAAGAAACTGTCTGTATATGATTATAGACATTATGTTATATAAAATAAAGTAGGCACACGAAAGTTTTGTGGGTTTTTAGTGTGTTTGCTTTTCACTTACATCCACGCCGAAGACGCTCGGTTTGCAGTTATACCTTCATAGCAGCAGATGATTCGTTTAAAGCGCGCACACTAATGATATAGGTGTGCTGTCATTATAAGTTCATTAATTACAGTGATAGATTCCCGTTCGCTACAGTTTAAAACAGTTTTTATTTTCGGTCACCGCCGGTCGTTAAATAAATTCCAACTACATCATTAATATCATTGCACGACTACTAACGTCACCCTTTGAACGGTTTTCCACCATCCATTGAAGCCAACCCTTACGCGCCCTGCTATCTGCGACCTAAACGGAAAACAAGATTAGTAAACATCCAAATGACGTGTGTTATTTTGTGTTTTTTCCCTCTTTTTTTTCTCACTCCTCCACGAAAATTTTCGCATTCCGATACAGATACCCATCAATTTCGACTGTTATTACTATTCCAACGTAATATCGGGTATAATATCGATGGTCGTTAATCAAATTCTAACAAAGTAATGAAATAAACGTCTAAGAAAAATTAAAAGTACGAGGTTTAGAAAAAAATTAGTTCGGTACTATGTAATTACGATTTTAAATAATATATTACATAGACTATTTTTAATTCATATAATATTAATACATTTTACAATTATTATCGATTAGGATATTAAACAGATTTTAAATATTTTAGTTTATTGATTTGTCTAAATTATTTATGAAATATTATTTTTAATTATTTTGGCTATTCTTCTTAAAATATATTTGAACTACTTTATAAACTCTATCATATTATTTTATTTAGTTAAATTTGTTATTTATAAAATTAATATACATGTTGCAAATTCCTATGTTTAGAGAACCATAYATTTTAAATATAATCTTCACTTTTATATACTTTTCATATTATAAAATATGTATAATTTCAATGCGTGGTAATATTTTGAATATAACTTCATGACCTAACGGGGTGCTGCGTCACTGAGTTACTTCCCCCTCCTGTCAATCAAATATCATCAAATTTACTCATTGTAAAACACGCAAATATAGATTATAAATATGTTAACTTCGTTTCAATAAAAAAAAACTTCATTAACTCATAACTTATATTTCCTACTTCTATAATTTATATATTATCATCTGCAGTTTATAAATGACTGGTTATTAATTACAATTCCATCAATAGTAATGTAGTGTATTCTCGTATTGTTTGCATTTTCATTTAAGTTTTAACTAAAGAATTTTTAAAAGTTTATTTTGTATTTCATTTAGTTATTATGAATCTCTTTAGTTGCTTTTGTTAATGTATATTAAAAACATTAAATAAATTAAAAAATAATAAAGATC